AAAAAAAAAAAAAAACTTCAAAGATGTAGGCTGGGAGTAAAAGCTCATGCCTGTAATCCTAGCACTCTAGGAGGCCAACGTGGATGGACTGCTTGAGCTCAAGAATTCAAGACCAGCCTGAGCAAGACTGAGACCCTATCTCTACTGAAAAACAGAAAAACTAGCCAGGTGTCATGGCAAGATACCTACAGTCCCAGTTACTCAGGTGGTTGAAGCAAGGGGATCATTTGAGTCTGAGAGTTTGAGGTTGCTGTGAGCTATGATGATGCCATGGCACTCTACCAGGGCACAGAGTGAGACTCTGTCTCAAAAAAAAAACAAAATTGATGTATATGTGTATGTATACTTACATACATTTCCAAGCTCTGTCTGCCAAGAGGAACTAGAGGCAATAACAGCCCATGAACGATGAACATATCCAGTACCCAATTCTAGGTTCTGAATACCACCTTGCAATCCAAAAAGAAATGGATGGGCGGCGCCTGTGGCTCAAAGGAGTAGGGGGCCGGCCCCATATACCAGAGGTGGCAGGTTCAAACCCAGCCCCGGCCAAAAACTGTAAAAAAAAAAAAAGAAAAAAGAAATGGCTGATTCCAGGGCTGCAGTACAGAAAGTGCAGGGTAAACCTGGACCATCCGGTGGTGCTAGAAAGTTAGGAACTTGTCAAAAACACATAGGCATCTGTTGGAAGGAGTTCCCGCTAGCCAAATCTGAGATAATCTGGATATCAAAAGAAATAATAGTAGTAATGAATTACAGTCCACTGAATAAAAAAGGAATCCATAAACTCAAACTGATATAAATCAATAAAGGAGGGAGAAGAGGAAACTCTTCCTTAGAGAAGAATGCCAACTAACAAATACAGAAGGAATGACAAAGTTAGAAAATCACCGCTGGGCAACCAGCACAGTAAAAAATTATTTCAGGTAAGAATCATGAATATTCATGTGCATGAATATTCACAAGTCTCAAAGCACCTCCCAACAAGTTACTTATTAATCATGAAAGGGAAAATAGTAACATCACAGTGGAGAACCCAGCAGACCCCATCTTAACCAAGTGATCAAAGTTAGCAGCAACAATAATGAGTATCATTCTTCTGTGTTACTCTGGCCAATAATGCATGACCAGATTTTAATCGATGAGGAAATATCAGATAAACCCAAATTGAGAAACTCTCTACTGGCTGGCACTCCTCCAAAGTACAAAGGTCATGAAGACAAGGAAGGCCTGGGGAACTGTTCCAGATTAAAGAAGACTCAGACATGACAACTAAACGTAATGTGTGATCTGAGATTAGGTCCCCGACCAGAAGAAAGGCATCAGTGAGATGTCAGCCAAATTCCTCTGGGGTCTAAAGATTAGTTCCCAATTTTGTATCAATGCCCATTTTCTGGTTTTAATCATTATACTATGGTTATGTAAGATGTTAACACTTGAGGATAATGGGTGAAGGCATATATAAACACTTTACTATTTTTATAAATGTTTTTCTTTTTTTTCTTGGAATTCAGTGGCACAATCATACCTTGCTGCAGCCTCAAGCAATCCCCCTGCCTCAGGCTCCCTGGGACTATAGGTACATACCACTGCACCTGGCTAATTCTTTTTTTTTTTGCAGTTTTTGGCCAGGGCTGGGTTTGAACCCACCACCTCCAGCATATGGGGCCAATGCCCTACTCCTTTGAACCACAGGCACCAACCCTAGCTAATTCTTCTATTTTCTGTAGTGACAGTGTCTTGCTATGTTGCCCAGGCTGATCTCAAACTCTTGGCCTTAGGTGATCCTCCCACCCACCACTCTAAAAGTGCTAGGATTATAGGTGTGAGCCACCACACCCAGCCCTGCAACAGTTTTCCATGTCCAAGATTATTTTAAAGTAAAATTTTTTAGAAATCATCAGATGGTAAAGCACCTCAGCCTCCCAAGAAGCTGGGACTAAAGGTGCCCACCACAATGTCCAACGACTTTTTCTATTTTTAGTGAAAGCTTAATAAGGAATAGAATATTTATTTACACAGCAGTTTTAAAGTATGCTCCCACAAAGGGAAATAGAAATTACAAAGAGAAAAATAATAACTTTCCAGAGGAAAACCCCACCCAGCACCACCCTCACCAAGTCCTCAACCCATACCATGTGCCTCCTGACATGATACATTACAAACACAGCATCACCTACATGGTATCCCTACCAAAAATGAATAACTTAGATCCTATCACATAGCAGCACCAGAAAGACCTAAATTAAGAGAGGCTTCCTACAAAATAACTAATACCCCTCAAAAATGTCAATGGCATGAAAGGTAAGAAAAACCTTTTTCTTGATGAATAGTCCCAGACCAAAGGAAACTAAAGCTACTACAGTAACTCAATATACTACTTAATCCAGGATCAAATCCTCAGCCAGAATTTTGATTACTTATTTGTGATAAACAACATTACTGAACAATTCATCAAATTTGAATGTAGTCTATGAATCAGATGTTAATATTGTTTCAGTGTAACTTCCTAGTTCTGACGACTGCTCTTTGGTTACCCACAGGGGCATCCTTCTTTTAGGGAATATACACTGAAGGGATCAGAGATAATGGGGCATCTTATTGTCAAATGGTTTAGAAAAAGTATGTGTGTATATATAGGAAAAATGACAAAGCAGATGTCATAAAATGTTAACAACTGGGGAAGGTGGGTAAAGGATATGTGGGGATTCTTGGTAGTATTCTTACAGCTTTCCTAGAAGTTTAAAATTACTTCGAAATAAAATGTACTTACCCGAGCAGGGTGGCTCATGCCCATAATCTTAGCACTTTGGGAGGGTGAAGTGAATGGATTGCTTGAGCTCTGGACTTTGAGACCAGTCTGAGCAGAAGTGAGACCCCATATCTACTAAAACCAGAAAAAGTATCTGCACGCTGTGGTGGGCGCCTGTAGACCCAGCTACTTGGGAGGCTGAGAGCAAGGGGATTGCTTAAGCCTGAGGTTGCTATAAGCTATGACATCAGGGCACTCTATCCAGGGCAACAAAGTAAGACTCTGTCTCTAAAACAAATAAATTGTTTTAAACTTACTTCTTATAAAACAAAAAATAAGACAGATTGGGTCAGAATGTGCAGGGCCCTTTAGGAGGCTAAGGCACGATGATCACTTGAGACCCGGAGTTTGAGATCAGCCTACTCTCACAACATAGCAAGACCGCATCTCCATAAGAGATTTTTAAAAATATCTTATCAAGTTTAAAAGAATGGAAATCACATAACGAGCGCTCTTAGACCACAGTGGTATTAAACCAGAAATCAAAAAATACCTGAGAAAACCCAGAATGTCTGGGGATTAAGCAATGCACTTCTAAATAACACAGGAGTCAAAGAAGACATTTAAAATTTCTTTCAGAAAGGAGAGCTCACAAGGAAATGTACAGCACTGAATGCATACATAGGAAAAGATGGAAGATCTAAAACTAATCATCTAAGTTTCCACCTTTGAAGACAGAAAAAGAGCAAATAAAATTCAAAACAAAAGTCACAATATTTTCAAGGAGTAAAAACAAAGTCATAGCACTTAGATTTTTCAAATGAATATTGTTACCTTAATAGTTCTCAGAACAAAGCAGTATCCAAAATAAACATGAAAAACACAACATCCCAGCAGTATCTTTGCTTAAAGGTCTGCATGCGAAGGTAAGGGCACGCAAAGGTGACTCAAAGGCAAACTGAAAGTAAGGCAAATCCATTTTTAAAATAAGGTTGTATTGATATTTTAGAGTTGGTAAAATCAAGGATATTTGATGTTCTTACCATAAAAACATAAGCTGGCGCATGTATTCATTACTGACTTATTCTATAATGTATACATAGATCAAAACATCACAACATAACCCGTAAATATACCGAATTATTATGTATGAATTAAAAATAAGTTGGGGGAAAAGAATGTGCAGAGCCATGGACGCCAGGTCGAGATGCATTGCTTTTACCCTTTTACAAATGGAAAGCCACTGAGAGTTTCTACAGTAAAATATGATGCAATCAAAGGCTGCTGAGATGGTACAGTCAGGAGTTGAGCTAAGTGTCAAGCAAAAGTGAACACCAACCAGCGGAAAAGAGGGACTTCGAGGTAACTTCCCGGCCTCCAGCTGATACATCCGGAGATAGACTTCAACCTGGGGTGTGGCATCACTGACAAAGCGAATGACTTTCAGAGCATGCAGCACATCCAAGTACTGGTCCTTGCGATACATCATCACCTTGGCATGGGATTCATGGTGAGGAGGCAGGATCCCTACACAGGGAATCAGGGGGAAAAAGGGGGAAAAAACTGAGACATCAATCCCTCCTCTATTAAAGGAAATCCTGTGAGAAACACCCCACACAATTAGACTAGAATTCACTCAAATATTTAATTACCATATAGAGTCTCTTTTACAAATTCTTCCTATAAAGCATTCTTAAATGTCAACTACTATCTATATCTGAATAGTGACATATCATTGATATTAAAGAGAAATGAAGTGGTATCACAAAAATCCTTGGATGCCACATACATTCAAGATAGTAACTGTGTTAATTTATGGCTGTCAGCCTCTGGCCACCTGTAGCTCCTGAAGGCTTCTCTCTGGTCTTTGCAGTTGGCCCCTACATCTCAGAAGCACCATCAGCTCCTTGAAGGCTTCTCTTCCCCAACTGTAGTGAACAGCTCCTTGAAGGCTTCTCTTCCACAGCTGTAGTGAACAGCTACAACCTGTTCACAAAGTATCCTAACCTTATGGCCAAAAATGGACCAAATCATCATTGATGAAATCACTCCCTGTGCCTGACATTTCTATGACATTTTAAGCTCATTAGCCCGTTTAAATATGGTGTCACATCTTTTATATAAACAAGTAGCTTTCAGAAAACAGTGGAAAGACCACTGGGCAGGCCACCAGTAAACCTGGGTTCTAGTCTCAAACCTGACAATACCAGAATCCCCACAAATGTATTAGGCCCCCCAGGACTAGTTTCCTCATATAACAGAGACAGAAAATGAGAAAGACAAGCATTTCACCAAATGTTCTCTGCAGAATGCTAACCCCAAAAGTGTTCAAGAGAAAAGGATCCTATGGTCAAAGAGACTTGGGAAATGGTGACAATGAATTTTCAAGGCAATAAAGACAAACATTTTACTTTATTTATTCCAGACTTATTACGTTTAATGAGGCTATACAGATGTACAGACTCTGAAACAAAGGTCCCAGGTTTTAATTCCAGCTTCTACAATTAACAGCCTAAGTGACCATTATCTGCTTACTTGAGCTCCCTCTCTCTTAACCTGCCCACCTGAAAAATGGGAATAATGATACCTAACCTTGAATAGCTGTTGTGATGAGTAAACAAATCAAGACACACTGAACACTCAGAAGAGTGCATGGCACACACTACCCGAGGCAAAGCATCAGCAAGTATATCTGCCTACGAATCCCTCTTAGGGATAAAATACCATGGATCCAGGATTCTAAAGAACACCCTAGGGAATAGCTCTAGAACACCCTAGGGAATAGCTCTAGAACACCCTAGGGAACAGATCCAAAGTCTCTAGCTAACACGCCGCCACATTAATCTTAGAATCACTCTTGCTTATATGTTGTTTTCCTTGACATAAATCTTCACTCACCATAGCTATGGGCTGTGTGCCAAGCTTCCAGAAAAGCCAAGGGAACACACTAAAGCATCTTCTACATCTGGACTGATACAAATTAAACCGCTGTGGTTGAACTTTCATCATACTACTACAAGCTGCATATAGCTTCCCACCTTAAATGTTAAACCTGTTCTAAATGGTATCAGGAAGCAGGTATCCCTGAGCAGCCAAAAGCCTGGGCAAAAAAAAGGGAAGTTGTCACCTGCATAGTGTGACAGCTATAAACTTTCAGTGCCTTATAACTACCTCACTTATGTGAAAAGAAGGGCAAGAAAAATAAAGTCAGATAGGCCTCAACATTCAGAAGTGCCACAAAGCACAACCATCCATCACCCACTAATCCGCTGGAGTTATTGATAAGATACAGCACTTCCCAGCAGATATGGACACTGTGGACATTACCACATAAAATGCATCCCTGGAGGCACTTCCTTTGATGTCCACTGAAAACAGTTAAGATTTTTTTTTTTTTTTTTTTGAGACAAAGCCTCAAGCTGAGCCCCTGGGTAGAGTGCTCTGGCTTCACTGCTCACAGCAACCTCCAACTCCTGAGCTCAAGCGAGTCTCCTGCCTCTGCCTCCCAAGTAGCTGGGACTACAGGCGCCTGCCACAACGCCCGGCTATTTTTTGGTTGCAGCCATTATTGTTGTTTGGCGGGCCCGGGCTGGATTCGAACCTGCCAACTTAGGTGTATGTGGCTGGCACCTTAGCCGCTTGAGCCACAGGCGCCGAGCCAAAATAGTTAAGATTTAAGAAAAGAATTCCCTGGGAAAAATCAGAATGGTTGTCAATACTTCCCTAGATTGTGAGTGTGTGAAAAACGCCAGGACACAAAACAAAAAAAGTCACTGTGCAGTGCTTTCTCAGACAGCCTGTATTCCTTGCGGCCTCCATTCTACACGATCAGATTGAGGACTACACATTTCTCAAGTCCTAAACACATACCACATTTTGGAAAGAAAATGAGGTCCACAACCTATCCCATCTTCAAATGAGTTCTACAACTTACGCTCAAATCCTTAGCTCTGCCTCATACAGGCTATAAGGCCTTACACGAGTTATTTAGCCTCACAAAGTCTTTTTCCCCACTTATCAGCATATTAGACACCTACCTCTTTGGGGTGGGGTAGGCAGAATTCTAGGATTACTCTATACAGTTAATGTAAACTACTCAGTCTAGTGAGAGGCATACAAGAACAGCCAGTAAATAGCAGTAATAGTTCACATTCCTCATAGACACTTGGCACACAGCCCATAGCTAGTTCACAATCCTCATCACTATTCTACAGCTAACTTCCAAAAATTTTTTAAGAACATAAGAGGGTGATAATAGACAGCCATTATGTGCTTCACTAGGTTCAGCAATGATAGGGGGGAAAAAAATCTTGGGCTCAAAAGAGATGCTGCCAGTTAAATGCAGCACCTGATTCACTTTCCTCCACAGAAACTAAGCAAGATCAGTTTTCCCCTCATTCAGAAAATGAGGTCCACAATTTCACCACTGGAATTTATTCATTCACACTTCCAGGGAGTGAAAATGTTCCAATTCCCTTTTTACTCTAATAGCACTCATTATATACCTCTGTTATACCTCTCTGTTATACCTCTCTGTTATACCACTCTGTTATACCTCTCCAGCTGAGAATAACAAAATCTTACAAATTTAAGGCTAAAATCTAGAAGTAGGTTAGCCCAATAGTCTCATCTTACAGATGCAAAAAGAAAAAAAAATGAGCACTAGAGAAGCTCCAGGCT